TCTGAAATCCAAACCATCTTCAAATGTGCCTGTGTGTGGTCTGAGCAGGCAGCTTATGCAATGAGAAATGGGAAGCCACTAAAATGATTCTGCTTCTAAATATTTTGACCTTTATTGACATTTATAAGTAGCAGGCAGCTTAATTACCAATTAAAGGAAGTTATTAGCGACAAAAGGAGCCTGTTCTTTTTTTTCCCCCATGGCTCCTTTCCCAAACCAGGGCTGTTAGATGAGATGTCTGTGGCAGGACAAGGCGGAGGAGCCCAGGAGACCTCGGCTACTTGATGGCAAATCTGTACAGAAATTCTTCTAGAAGTCAAAAACCTTCATAAAGGGGATATCCAGAGACAGCCCATGCACAACAACAGACTCTCCACTGCTGCTGGGGTTCAAGCCTTGTTTTACAGAACTGTCCCATTTTCCTACATGGAACTGCTTGATATTTCTGGCTGACTTTCTTTCAAGTACATCCATAAAAAGGCCTTCCCAAACTGTTTTTTTGGGTTTTTTTTTCCTCTTTTATTATTTTTCCTTCACAATATGCATTTAGGGGTTGGCCTGAGGAGCTGAGAATATTCAGGACTTGGCTGCTAATCCTGACACACACTGTTAAAACAACTGGAAGTTCTGCCCCAGAGATGGATGAATTCCTAGAGCAAACAAAGCAGCTCCTTTAAAATCACCCAACTCTTCATGCTGGATTGCAAGGGCTGGGAGCTCTACACATATTTATTGTCCCACTAGAGCATTGGGATTGTTTGCTGGTTGATGACACTGATGAGAACATCTTTATTAAAAATAGATATAACGGAATGATCAATGCTCTCCCATAATTTTAGAGAATCTTTCAATAAAAATTAGGTACAACACATACCAAAACTACAGGATAAGCAGAGCTCTGATACTGACAGATGCAGGCAGGACTTTTTAAACTGAATTAGTGTTAATATGAATTTAAAAATAGCCTCATGAAAGAATTACCCTACCCTTATATTATTTTCAGTTCTGTAATACACATTAATGTTATTTTAAGAGTCTTTATTTATGAAGGGAGACACAATGTAGAGAAGACATGGATATCCCAAGATGCTTAAAAACATAATTTCCTCACTGGGTGAATAACCCCAAGGTTTGAATTTCCAGTAGCTGGGAGGTGGATGAGTGATCCAAACCTCATTTTGGAGTATGATATGGAAGATAGGAAACTTCCAGGCACAGTGATTTAGCTTTTCCTCACTTCTTCTCCTGCTTTTATCTAAAGCCCCCCAGTCTTTTCCACCAACCTCAGCTTCTGATTTTCTGACAAACTTCTGGACTCCCAAGCAAGACTTTCAATGCTATTTTTTTCCCTGAATTTTTACCCCAGATCTTCATGGCTTTTTCTGCTCTGTATTCTTTACACCTTTTTTATTGAGTTGATTATTCACCCTCACTTTCAGAGGGAAAAGAAATTTTACTTTCAAAATATTTGAAACTTAGAGTTTGATCCTACAATCACCAAAGTCCAAGGCAACAAGGGTGTTCTGTTCAGAGGAAGTAGAACAGCCCCAGGTCCCTGAACATTGTGTTTTCAATCAGGGAGCCTTCACATTTAAAAGGAAATCATTTACACCGTGTTCATATTCATTGTCCACCTACACAGGATGGGAGATTTGCTGGATGAGATGAAATGTGCTGATGGCAGGAGGGCAGAGCTGCTCTCAGCTGAACCTGCTGCAGGAAATGCCATCAAACCCCTCTGGGGAACCAGACCTGGTTCTTGGTACGTGGAAGGTCAGCTGAGGTCCCAGTGTGGGAATTTCACCCCAGGAGCAAAACCAGAACTCAGCCTCCGGGGAAAGGACCAAGGGAAGCTGCTGCAGCCCATCTGACACAGACATCCAGTTATCAAATGTCTGAGAAGAAATTCTGTTCAGATATATTTCCCTGAAGTTTAATAACAAGGAGAGCTTGTGCAAATATCAGCTGCAAAGACTTGGGAAAGCAAATCAAATCCAAGCTTGCAACAGTGAACAGGTAACAGTAATAATGAAATATTTGCCTGGATTTTGACAGCCTTGAACAATTCAGTAAATCCTAGCACTCCCCGTGCACTACCTGATAATAATAATTATTATTATCAGGAAGCTGCACTGCCCTTGAGAACTGGGCAGTGGGTTCTAGGAGGAAGGAAATTGCTGCCACATGCAGTAAATAAAAAGAAGTTTGAAAAAAAAAGAAATACAGAGTTGTGCTGCAGAATCATTCCATTGAGCCTGGCTAGAAACACAGGCAGCTACAAACCAATCATTCATCTCCAACATAAACACAGATTGGGTTCAACTTGCAGTAACATAGGTTGAGATTTTTAGTAGATGACATAAATAAATGTATTTTTATATTTCCTGACTACATTAAGCTTGAAATCAAGAGTTCTAAAATGTGAGCCATACACTGTAAGGCTTCTAATAGCTAATAAATTCAGATAGTCACACTGAAGCAATGTTTTCTCCTTAAAGGTACATTTTGCTGCAGTGTATACAAATACAAGGGGACTTGTTTTTTTTATGGATTTGTAATTATATGTAGCTGAACATGATCATTCCATACAGGTTAAAGTTCTCTTAGGAGGACAGCAAGATGGAAACCACTTCAGAAGGCACAATCTCTGGCCCCAAATATTATTTCTACATGGAAAGACATTGGTAAGGAGCTGGGGGAAGGTTGAGGAAAATTACTTTCTCAAAAAAAGACCAGTTGAGGAAAGGTGAAACATTCTGGCTCAAGAACATCAATGTATTCCTCTGTTCCTGCCCCACTTCCACTACTCTAAGAAAGCACAAAACCAGTTTTTATCCTGCCCAGTGCCTCAACTTCCCATGTGTAAAGCAGGGATCAGAGTGCTGCAATTCCTTCAGGTGGTGGTAAAGGAATGAACCATCCTAGAGAAACACCAGTAATACTTAAGAGCTAAAATACTGCCTAATCAAAGGTCATTTTTCATCTCCAGCCCTTACAGCACTTCTGTGTGGAGCTGAGCATTGTCCCCACGATAACCCATGGAATATAACATTTTCCAGCTTCTCAGGAAGGTCTGGCAGCAGTGGCAGCAGTGATTTTAGGTGGCAGAAAAGTGTGTGAGATGCACAAAGGCTGATGCCCAGCAGTCAGAGAGCTCAGGGTCAGGCAGCACAAGGCTGAATTTCAGCTTTGCTCCCCACACAAGCTCTGGCTGAAGGACACAGTCACTGCCCAGGCTTGGAAGGCAAATCCCTCAGCACAGAACGAGCCTGTTTGTGTTTTGGACCCAGCACTTCCAGTGGGTCTCTCACAGAGACGTGTTCCCAGTGGGGGAGCCATAAAGAGTCAGTGTGTGCTGGCTCCAGAGCCCCTCATTGCCTGGATGTGCTGGAAAAGCCAACTGGAAATGTCTGAGTGCTGATGTCACTGCAGCACAATCGCTTTGGAGCCTGCTCAGCTTTCCTTGGGGCGCCCATTCCTCACAGGAGCCTCGCTGAGCTTTGTCTCCTGGCTGGAGGTTTAGGAGCAGAGAGAAGTGAAGATGGCAGCTGAAAGCCTCACTCCACAACAAGGAAAATCATCCTTTTAAGGAAGGATTTGTTATTCCTAGCCCAGTTTAAAAGCCAGCAGTTGAGAGTGAGTAAATTAAATGGATGAGCAGAATAAATCTGAAATCAGCAACTGCTTCTTCAAGGGGAATTGAGCTGCATGTGACAAAATTAATAAGAACCTCCCCACCCACCTAAGTTAAGGTTGAAAAATTAAGTGTTTAGGGGCTGGAAACACCAGGTTTAAGGCTGCCATGTGCAGTCCTAATTCACATCTCCTGCGTGATACAATTAAAAGCTATTTTTCCCCATGGCCTCACCCCATTTAGTGGGGAGGATGAACAGAGCTATTCAGTATTTCTGGTTGGGGTTTTTTTTTACCTTTTTGAGTCAATGTGTGGCCTTGGCTTTATTTATAGCATGCCATTTAAACTCTTCACTGAAAACAGGATTATTCACATCCTTGTGGGTTTTAATATAACACTTATCACAGAAATATTTGCTTCAAAAATATAACAAATGTCTCATGACAAAACCCCTGCCAGTGAGGTAGGATGGTAGCACAGTCCCTTGAGCCCAAGTGCTTAATCAGAATCAGAGGTCCCACAAGCTTATTTTGTTTAGGATGAGATCATCTGAAAGTAATACAGTGTATAATATATTCTTGGGTTTTAGCAAACCAATGGTAACAAAAACCCATTTCTCTGGGACAGAGCTCCAAAACTTTAGTGCCCTGAGTTCTGGCTTTGGGAAAGCATCTGTTTCCTTTCAGCAGTGGCCACAGCATTTGCAAACCTTGTTCTCTGTGGTTTAAAGCAGCTCCTTCTAAGACCACGGGGCAAACATGCAAGGCCTGATCTGAAGTAAAGTAATGTAGCAAAGAAAGGCTGGAGTGAAATTATTCCTGGCTCACTTGGTTCTGGAGGATTTCCACTGAAATTTGCAACTTCAAAGGCAAAAGAATTACTCCTACCTCTGTTTGCAGGCCTCTGGACATGCATGTGGTTATATAATACACCTAAACCCAAAAAAGTTGTCATATCTGACTGCAAAACACCTGAAATATCTTTGAATGTGTAGCACACAACAGTGTTAATGTTTTTTTTCAGCAGTTAATCAACCATCAGCAAAGGTTTAACAGACTTGAGCTCAGCACTGCACAGTCAATCCTCTCATAGACAATTCACATTTACCTTTTTAATTTGGATCTGGGTTACAAATCAAGTAACTTCTCTTTTGAGACATTGTAGAAAAAAAAAAAAGTTGCTTCAGGTTCTTCCACAAGTATGAAACCATTTGATAAATACAATTTTCAAGTTTATACAAGCCTGCAGTCCCACCTGCACACCCAGTCAGGGAAATCAATCCATGATTCCCTGTCATGCTGCTTGTTTTACAGCACAGGCTCAGAGAAAAGTGCTTGTTAGAAACATTTTTAAAACATTTACTCACTGTTCTGACAGCCCTTAGGATCTCTTTTCCTTTTTCTGGTCTGTGTTGCTTGTCTCCCACTATTCCTCACTGGTGCTGTCTTCAGAGGCCAGCTGAAAGAAAAATGCACAATGCCAAGAGTTTATATCCACCAGACTGGAAACCTGGCATGTCTGGAGCATTGTTATTATTATTATTATTATTATTATTACAAATATGTTTTGGAATTTGTATTTTTGGCATAATGGGAAGATTCATTCTAAAGAATGTAGCTCAGCTTTTTAAAAACATGTGAAATCAGTTTGGATCACATCAAATTGAAGTATTTCAGAGATGACTGGGACTAAGCTTCTTTCTTGATTTGATGTAGCAAAAATAAAGTTCACAAATATAATCTCAAGTACCACTTAGGAGCATCTTAAATACTGTTATTAAAAATATTGCTATTATTATTGAGTTTAGACTGTATTTAACCCTTCCCATGGCAAAGTGACAGAGGCTCTGAGAAATCACTAAACCAGGCTGTGATTTGCTACACTTTTAACTGATTTACATTTTTAACTGCTCAGTTCCCAAAACAATAAGGAGGCTGTGATGGAGCAAAGCACTGGGGCAGATATTTCACTTTAAGAACATATTAAATCTCCAGAGGCATCACTTGGTTTTGGACTTGAGCTGAAGTTGCTAAGGAGCATTAGTGAGGTCTTGTCTCTGAATTTATCCCTGAAAAAGCAAAAGTAAAATATATTTAATTTTTTTTTTTTCTTTTCACTGGTTTTGTTTGTTTGATTTGATAAATAAGCTACAAGGAGGTCAGGCCATGGCACCAAACAACTTTCACTGTAAGAGCTGTGAAAGAATTTACATCATCCCAGTTCGTATTCAGTTTCTCCATGAAATTTTGAATTTTATTTAGGAAATAAGGAGCCTGGAAGTTTAGAAAGGAATTTTCTCAGGCTGTGCTTATGTGAGCAAAGTCCTCCTGTCCCTGGCAGCCCTGACACTGCAGCCCTTGAGGATGACCAGAACCTTCTGCTCACTTTGCTGCTCTTCCCCACCTCCCTGACCAGGCAGACAGAGACATCCCTGAATGTTCAGCCAGAAATCAGAGTTTCCAGCTCGCTGGTGCCCTGTGCAGAACCTTCCACTGGCATTTTTCAAACCTGCTCCCAGCTGAAGGGCTGAGGATGCCAGGGCAGCTCAGGCTCCCAGTGCTGCCTCTCCCAGGAACACAGCTCCATGCCCTGCAAGGCTCCAAACTCTCCTCTCCAGCCTAAACCTCCAGCCCTGGGCAGCAGCAAAATTAGTCTGAATGTCTTTAGTTATTAAAGTGTTTTATCTGTCCACTCCCTGACGATTTGTGCCTGTCTGGTGCATGAGAAAGGGCCCTTCTGGGGCAAAACCACAGATAAAATGTGTTTTAAAACTGGAATTAAAGCCCTGAATGTGGATGTTTCATAATCTAAGCTGAGTATCTATAGAAAGAACAATTGTATGTTTTTAGTAATGACCTAATTCAACTAATTCAATAATGAACTAATTCAACCCCTTCCAAAACAATTCATGAGCTCTTACTCATTATCAACAGACAGTGCTTGGGGACCTTTGCTAATTACCACTATTCTTTGGTGCTGGATGTATTTATGTCATGGATGCAGGGTAAAGATGGACAGGAAAGAAAATATAACTGTTTCTTTTTGTTCCTACTCACAAACAGTGATGGGAAAACCTCCAAAAGCTTTCTTGCTGTTTTGTGGTTGTCAGGACACTTCATTTTCTCTCATTCCCAAGCTTCAGAAGCTTCCTCTTTGTGATTGCAAACAGATGATGGCAGAGGCAGCAATTAGACTAATCCAAGTAAATTCCAATCACTGGTAGCCTGCAGCAGCTTGCAGTGCTCACATCAAATGGAGGCCCACCCTTAGCACGAAGCTGTCAGCAGGAAAAGAGAAATTAAAATTGATTTTTAGAAGCAAATTTCTGTGACCTTCCTCATTGCACCCAGGAGTATCTATAACATCTGTCATTTATTATATATCATGGCTGGGATTCTTAACCAACCATGGAGCTTGGGCATTCCAAATCCAGTGTGCACCTTTGACTGTATCAGTACAAATTCTCAGGAGTTTTGACCATTTGGGAGTTCCATAAAAGGAGGAAGTGTCTGCACCTCTCTACACACACCAAGAAACATTAAAAATATACAATTTAGGAGCTCATTTGAAAAGGACACCTTTAAAATTGGAGCTTTTAATACAACCAGAATAGATTATGCAGATTTATCTTGTCCTTGCCAACTTTTACAATCTTTCTTTGCAAAACAGAGGTGGCATGTTCTCAGACAGTGTAATTTTTTTAATAATGACCCCAATAAAACCAGTGGCTAGTGATAGCAGCTACTCAGTGAGCTCAATGGGTATTCAAATATGAGAGCAGTGTCTTTTATAATAGTGCAGGATCTGCTAAGTAAATTTAGTGTAAATTTCAGAGTCACTCATCTCCATCTTTTGTCAGGAATCCCAGTTCAAACACAAGATCTCCCAGATTCTGGAGGTTTTCTTGCAATGGAGACTGTCTCCAGAAGCTGCCCACAGATTTCCCAGGATACCAGACTGGTGTTCCCCACAAGTAAAGTAAAACATCCTCATTCCTCTTCCTTCCAATATTCTTCCATAATTCTAATATTTTTCTCTGAAAAGCAAAACCAGGTTGTAAACCCAGTTGAGCTTTAGACAAAAAGTTTCCAAAAGCAGCAAATATAATGCAAGGAAAGTCATTTTGTAACACAGAAAAACACAAGCACAGTTATACAAGTGTTCTTGTTCCAAGAACAATTGTAAGTGGGTTTTGTTTTGATTTGGAAAAAACTCCAATATCTCAGTGTAGTTGCAGCAGACCACACACTGGAAAAATTACGTGGTTTTCTGGTGGCTGTATAATAAGAAAGGATTTTTCTCTCTGAGAGAGAAAAGGCCTATTCAAGGTTGGAAAGGGAGTGTGGCTTGGAAGAATGGAGAATCAGGAAGCTGAGGAGATAGGTCAGAATTGTGTGAGGATGATGTGGTCTCATTTTCTGAACAGCTGCCAGGGAATTAGGAAAGACAGCTTCTCCTTTTTCATCAAAACATAAGGGCTAAAAGCAAAAATCCAATAAATAGCAGGTTTAGGGTGTTTGCTGTTAAGGGTGGCTCCATCCCTGGTGCCTAGCTGGAGATAAGAGGTTTTGCAACACAGGCTGGCACAGACAGAAAACAAAGTGGGAGGATAAACACAATGGGCTTTGTGCCAATGGATTTGTGATGTGCTCACACAGAATCCTGCAGCAAGAGAAGCCATAAATATCTCCAGCATTTATGGATGGAGATGCACTCCAGGCTGGAGACAAGTGAACAGCAGATAAAGCACTCACAGAGTTAGGCCGTGACTTCACACTCACAAAGTGAGCCCATTGCAGGAGCTGCTTTCCAGGTTATTTTACTGCCTTTTACTTCATTGGGCAATCTTGGATGGGCTCCAATGAGTAGATTTTTTTTAAAACATTCTTTTTACCAGTAAAACACAATAAAAGATTTTATAGCCTTGATGTGTTTCTGGCACAGTTTAAAAACTGCTGCTAATAAAACTTTACCAAGAGGAAAAAATGACCAAGTTGTCACAATGTAAATATGATTTTTTAATTTATTTTTTTTTTAATTTGGGTTTTTATGCAGGAAACTGGGAAACAACATCACAGGAAAAGATTATGTTAAGAGAAGAAAACCTATGCAAGCACAACTTAGAGTGGAACAGTGTCATGTTCCTGGCAGCTCATGTTAAATGCAGTTGGAAAGAATTGTGTTTTCATGCACACCAAGGGCTGGCTCCTCCTGACCCCTGAGTCAGTGACAATTCACCAAGTGATGCCCTAAAGCAGCAGCCTGGCTTATGAATACGGCACCAGGCTAAGCCAGACAAGAGCTCTGAGCTCAGTCCTGGCCTGATCCAAGCTCCCTGTGTGAGATCCATGGAGCTTTTCACATGGAGAGAGCGTTGATCTGTCTGTCTGCTCCCCCTGCCAGCTCTCTGAACAGTCCCAGCCCCTCCTGGCCCTCTAAAGCCTTTGTTCTTGGGGTGTTTTTAGGTGCAACTTTCATTTAACAAGGAATGAGTAATGGCCACCCTTAATTATCACAACTCTGGCACTGTTCAACGCTCTGGTGACTCTGGTTCACTGCCCTACCCGGTTCTGCAGGAGATAAAATGTGCCAAATGCCAAAAAAAGCGATAAAAACGTGCCTTCAGCATCCAAGTGCCCTGCAGCAGGAGCTGTGTAAACAGCACTGCCCTCTGTGTGCATCACAGCTGCAGAAGCTGCTGCATTTTCAAGGATCATCACCTCTGCCCCTGAAAATGCTGATATTCCCTGCTCCTGGTGATGTTCCTGCTCTCATTTCAGTGCAACTTTTACTGCTGAGCTCTCTGTAAGATCTCGGAGATCTCTCTTCTGAGAGGCTTTGTAAGAACTGCAATGTTGATGTTTATTTTATGCTACCAGGCAACATTCTCAGTCATCAATTTGGCCACGCGAGGGCACCAGCACTGCTGGGAAAAAAAAACACAAAACCCAACAAAAAAAGGCTAAAAAAGACAAAACTGAGTAGCCAAAGGAATAAATAGGAGTTTGTTTACAAACTGTACAGCTGCAAAAGCACAGCATAGCAGGCTCCAGGCAGGAGTCACCCACCCAGAGCATCCAGCAGCTCCAGGGGTGCACAGCAGGGAGGAGGAAATCCCCCACCACCAAAACCCAACAGAGCTGAGCTGTTCCTGCTGCCCTGCCAGGCTCTCCTTGCCCAAAGATCCCTTTCTCAGAGTGGGTGTGGGAAAAGCTCCCACACCTTTGTTGTTTTGGGTGCCCTGGCTCAGGTCTGTGGCACAGGGGCAGCAGTGACCTCCAGGCTCTTCCCCCTCTCCCTCAGCACAGAAAGGTTTTCTCACCTGAGAGCCAGGTGAGCAGAGATGTCAAAAATCACATTTATAGCCCAGCAGGGTTTACCTCGTTTTGTGCCTTTATTTGTGAGAGGAACTGAATGTGACTCCTGAAGTAAAAGAAATGAGTTGTAGCTTGAGCTGAACATCCACACTGGGTGAGTTGTTTTCTCCACAAGGACACCACCACAAGGAATTCCTTTAGAGAGAAAATAATGTGATTTTTTCAAGCCTGCATCTTAATTATCTGATTTTAAATTATGCCATATAAAAACAAAGGCCTTGGCATCACCAACTCTCACTGAGTTCTCCCTGCCAAACACCATCCAGGACACAGAGATTTGCACCAAGAGAAAATCATGGAATTCAGAACCCCAGAATTCTTTGAGTTGGAAGGGACATTAAAGATTCCCTGATTCCACCCCTGCCTTGGGCAGGGTCTCCTTCCACTATCCCAGGTTATTCCAAGCCCTGTCCAACCTGGCCTTGGGCACTTCCAGGGATCCAGGGGCAGCCCCAGCTTCTCTGGGCACCCTGTGCCAGGGTCTCACCTCCCTCATAGGGATAAATTCCTTCCATCTATCCCACCTAAATTTCCCCTTTCAGTTTGAACTCATTTTTGGCCCATCACTGCAATTCCTGATGAAAAATATCTCCAAACCCCCTGTTCAAGAGCCAGCTCTGTATGAATGTATAGATGAGTGCAAAGCTAATTTTGCTTACAAAGGAAAATCCTCATTGCTAACAGATCCTGTGGTTAAGCTAAAGCTCGTCCTGCAGCATTGACTGTGGATACAAAAGGATTGTTCTTTTTTGTTTTGACTGTAAGTGAACAAAATGCTGTTTGCAACTAGATGTTTCTCCCGAGGTTTTTGTGATAGCCTGGATTAATTCCATGCAATTATTCTGGGGAAGTAAATTTATTCTGAATGCCCTGGTAGGTTTGTGGCAGTTCAGAGGAATCTCCCAGATAGGACACATCTGTTGTGAAGAACACCAGGTAAGGCAGGAATGGGGAAAATTAAAATAACTCCAGCTACAACCAGGGCAGAAGGGATCACAGCTGTCAGAAAACAAGGGGGCAAAAAGAGTTTTACAGGATCATCTTTATAATCTGAGCTTATTAAACCTTTTTGCACTGTTTGGAAAGCTGTTTCTTCTACTGTGTTTGTCAGAAAATCAGAGCAATGATGAGTTCCCAAAATGCACATGTGAATTTGAAAAGTGTTTGATTGAATATTCCACAGCAGACTGTGCATAAGATGGTTTTATTCAATACAGGGTGCTGTAAAATCCTAAAGTGTTTTATTCTGCTTGAGCACTTCTTGAGGTACTGAAATTATTTCTAATTCTACTACTAAGAATAATCACACCAAAAGTGGAAAATAAATTGATTTTTTGTTGTTGTTGTTACCTCTAACTCCAACTGAGCTCCTAGCAGCACTCTGTAGAATCCACAGCCCTGGGTCAGTGCCTCAGCTGCAGAAACATGGACAGACCCCACGGAACATTTCCTGCTCTCCTGACTCCTTTTCCTGGGACTGTTGGTCAGTGCTAATGAGAAGAGGAAGAGCAATGCTAAATTTAAATTTACTGACTGAGCCAGAGACCTACTGGCAATGTCTAAGTTCAAATCACATGTATTTGCAACGATTTATATTCAAAATAAAAGCAATTCTAGAGTATTTAGACCTGATTTAAAATGTCTGTAGTCTGCTACAAGCTTTTTTTTTCATCCTGTAATCTAAATGCTCCCATTTGGAACGCCAAGGTGAAGATATTTTAAATCCAGGACTAAAGCCTTTAATGCTGAAGTAGTTACATTTTCCCAAGGCAGCTGTGCAGTTCCTGTGTAAATTAGGAGATATGGGATTATCATTAATAAACAGAGGAACAAGAGGTCTCTGAGGCTGTACATTTATTACATGTTCTCAAAAGGGGGTCAGTCCTTTGCCTTTTGTTTTTTGCCAAATTTGGGGGTTCATTCTGGTCAGGAATCAACCTGCAAAGCAGCTCAGGTATTCCAATGCAAAACATGATTATTTTAAATATTCTGTTTTTCCTCATGGTCCAGCCCCATCTTCAGATTCACCAACAGATGCTCAGGAATGTAAAACATCTTTTGGGGATTATCAATTTGGAGAAAACAGTGCTTTTCTGAAAAGCCCTTCTGAAACTTTATTTAACTCAGCTAAAATGTGTCTCTCTAATAGTTCAACTTGATGTCACAGTTTAAAATTGATGCTGAGACTGGATAAAAAGGACCACATCAAGATAAAAGCTGTAATTAATTAAAACTGCAATAATTGCAAGTTTTAGTTTTCCTTTTCAAATTCCACGGGGCTTGTTGCCATGACAGGCGGGAAGATGCTACCAGCATAATCACTTCTTTCTTCTCATGTTTAGAAGGTTTTACTTTACTTTGTGGGACAGTTTGAAATTCAGAACAAAATAGGTACCAACAAAGAGATCTTTAGGATACAGATAAGTAACAGAAAATAAGTGGCTTCTAATAATAATAATAATTTTGCACCTCAATCTTCCCTCATTTTCCCCACCCTGGCAGAAGTTGAACTGCTCCTTCCACTCAGCCCAAGCTTTCAATTACAGTTCCCATTCAGCAGAAAAAAATCAGCTTTTCCCTTTTGAGCCAGCCCTTTTGGAGCAGCAGCTGACAGAGCTCTTGTGTTTTCCCTGGCAGGGATGAGGAGGGACATCCTGAGGTGCTGGGCTGTGTTCGTGGCACTGACGGGACCGAGCGTGGCCGAGGATTTCCCATGGACCAAGAACAATCCAGGCTCCTTCTACTACGGCACTTTTCCAGCTGGTACCTGCCAACCCCGCTGCTTTGGGGGTTGGAATGTTCTAGATCTGCTCCTGGGTTTGCACAGGGGAGTGACTCAAAGGTTTTCCTTGTCCTTCCAGGAAAATGGCAGGAACAGAAATGGAGAATGCAGGAATGTTTTGGGATCTGCTCCTGGGAACAGAGGGATCCACATGAGCCTGCACTCCATGGATCCACTTAGACAGGAAATACAGAGGAAAGGCTCACAGCTTAAGAGCTCATATCCACATCTCCCTGGTTAAAATGCAGTGTAACAAGTCACACCTGAAAACCCTTCTCCTTTTTTATAAATTACCTACAATTAATGAAATAAACTAAAATACCCTTTGTTATGCAGCTAATTTAAGAAATTAGTGTAATAACTGTGCTGGGTTTGTTTCAAGCTGTTCAGTATTATCCAACCCACTCTTCTGTATGGAATTATGAAATTTATCCTTTCTTCAACACATATTTAAACACATTTTATCCGAGCAAAATCAAAACTAGAAAGATGCAGGCACTGATTGGTTTTCATGCTCAAGTTTTCATCTCATTTATGCTATGGTATTTTGTGTAACAATAGGAAAATAATTCAGAATATTTCTTTATATTTTACTTAACATCTAAAATTGTAGTTGCTAAAATTACCATGAAAACTAGCAGGAAGAAATGATGTGGAAACATACTTTCTTTTTTACAATAGATATCTCTGCCATGCTATCAATGCCCTACCTCACTGTAAAACACAGATTTCACAGGTTTGATAAATGAAAGGATTCATTTCCTTTTTCAGTGCATTAGAACAGGACACCTTCAATTTATTACCCATTTTCAGACCTATTTAGGCACAGATACATTTTGAAATGGAGAAAACCTCACCTCTCCAGCAGCGCTTACTGTCAGTTCCTTTCTCCTATGAATATTTAGCACCAAGACCAATCAGCAGGAAGATGCTTCAATAACTCCCCTGTTTTTACCTTCAGGTTTCCTGTGGGGTGTTGGAAGTTCTGCCTACCAGACCGAAGGGGCCTGGGACAAAGATGGGAAAGGACTGAGCATCTGGGATGTTTTCACTCACAGGAAAGGGAAAGTGGTCAGGAATGAGACGGGAGATTCCGCCTGTGATGGCTACTACAAAGTCAAGGTATTGTTCAAGAGGAATTCATTCCTTGCTCTTGGATTCCCATTTTGAAGGAATAAATAAGGGCTTATTTAAATAATAAGCTCTAAGGGCTTATTTAACTTAGGGCTGATATTTTTAATCAGTAAAATCTTTCCTTATAATCTCATAGGAACAATAATCCCACGGTGTTTCCCAAATACATCTCAGCTTTGCAGGATTGTTGTGTCTAAAAATATTCTAGATGTTGTAGGAAGTCCAAATGCTTAGTTAGAAATACAATAAAGATATTTGAGCTTTAAATAAAATTAACTTTCTGGGTGTGTGTGCACGTATGAGGTTTTCTATGTATTTTTAAGAGGGTTTAAAATTCAGTCTGGATATTCCCCATTTTTTGAAAGTGTAACAAACAAATAATCAATGAAGCTCTGTTCACAACATCTTTCCAAGCCCAATACCATCAAAACCAATTCTGAAATTACTGTGCTGGAGGAAAGACAGATACACAGCAAGAGGAATCCAAATGACTGTGAGAAGCCAGGGTTACATAATTGGAATTGCAACTGATTTAATAAAAGCTGTATTCCACTGAGGTTTCTCCACATACATGAAGTCCAAGGGAGAACCAAAGGTCTCAGCAAGAACTAGAAGAAAAAAAACTAATTATGTCTTTCCTAAAATGGGAAAATGCAGGAGGGGTTTCTCAAATAAGCAAAAGTTTGAAAGAACAGCTTAAAAAGTATCCTAAAGAAGATGGAACTCTGAGCCTCACTGGGCTGTGAGGCTGTGGCACCAGAAGAGATTGATGCAGAGACAATTTGGATTTGTATTTAGAAATACTTTCTAAAACTTGCTTCTATTTGTCCAGTTACCTGGTCCTCTTTATATCAGAGCATTCCTTGCTTTCATCATCAGAATTCTCTTTGCATTGGCACAAATATCACCAATTCCTAATTTCATTGAACACTGAAGATGTAAAATTTCTTAGCAAAAGAACATATATTCATATGGGATTTAGGGGGTTTTCTCATTCCAGTGTAAGATAGTAAAGGAAAATCCAAGTAATTACGTTTTTGAGCCTGAGCTGAAATGTTTGAGGTCAAGATTTACAGGCTTCTATTATTTTCTAATACAAATTCTAACATAATCATATTTTGTGTTGCAAAACCTCAGCTCATTTTTCTGTACTGCAGACTTTGTCTCCCCTGTTACACAAAACATTACAGGACTTCTTTGGACTGTCAAAAAAAAGTGGTTAAAGAGGAAGGCTTCAAGTAGAATGAGCCATCACCTCAAAGATAAGAAAAAAAACCCAAATGGAATTCTCTTTTGTGCAAATCTTCCACAGATTTTCTGCATTCAGAATTATTTAAGCCAGATGAGGAACTGAAGTCATTCTGCTCAGCCTTGGGATGTGTTAATTGGATTTTCTTCTCACAGGATGACATTCAGTTACTGAAGGAGCTGAAGGTGAATCACTACCTCTTGTCCATCTCATGGCCAAGGATTATGCCCACAGGCATCAAAGGTAAGCACAATTTCACCACATTCTTCCCAATATTCTTATCTGTGAGGAATTTTACTCCTGAGTAACCCACACAGTTGTTCAACATTCCTGTTAAACAGATTTCTGTTGGTCTGCATTTATCCATTACAGAATTCCCAAGACTGGAATGTAAAATTCCTTGTTTAGTATTTCTAGATTTCTGTTCTTCCAGTTATTTGGGAACTAATGCAGGTAATTCCTTGTCTGTGCTTTTCATCAGCTGAGCAACTGAATGAGAAGGGAATACAGTTCTACAATGACACAATTAACAGTCTTCTGGAAAACAATATCACCCCTATTGTGAGCCTCTACCACTGGGATCTGCCACAGGTCAGACAATATTTCAATTATTGAAACACCTCAGAGAAAGTCTTCTGATAGAAATATTTTCCTAAGGTTAAGAACTAAGAGTACTTAAAAAAATTAGAGAAGCTTGCATGATTTTAAGAACTTGTAAATATTTCCTATTCGTTTGAATTTTATGTGCCTTGAACTTTTGAAAAATCTCTTTCTTTGCTAGAAATACAAATGGAATTAAACAGAAATAAAAGTCTTTTTTAAGCAGCAGCTGACCTTCAAGTACAATTATTGAATCTTGAAATTCTTATTTCCAAAGGTTCTTCAAGAAAAGTATGGTGGCTGGCAGAATATAAGCATGATTAATTATTTTAATGATTATGCAAATCTGTGTTTTGAGAAGTTTGGTGACCGTGTGAAACACTGGATCACGTTCAGCAATCCTTGGGTAAGTCATCGATGCTTTCCTTCCAAACACTCCCATTGCACTGTTCTGTTCCCAAAATTCTGAGGAAGTGACATTAGAGGACAGGAGGTTAAAAAAAATAGAGAAGGAAGTAGAGAGATTTAAACCATTAATCTTTATGGCCTAAAACCTCAGCAGGCAGATTTTGCACAAGGGCAGAGTTTTTAGACATGAAATTCCAGGAAAATTTTGAAAACCCTGAAGAGACACCAGGAATTAGAAAGGCAGCTGCTATTTACCCTTCCCCATTCCTCAGCTCACCTAACCCTCCTCACCAACACCCTGCTCCCAACAAGCCACAGCTCGGTACCAAAGCGGCAGCAGGGCAGGAAATGGGAGTCAAGGAAGGGAAAAGGGGATTGGGGAGGGGCAGCCCAGGCAGGAGAGCACAGGATCCAGAGGATGGAGCACATCCCCTGGCTCTGGAGCCCAGGGAAGAACTGACTCTGTGTGTTTGCAGGCAGTGGCTGAAAAGGGCTATGAGACAGGAGAACACGCACCAGGACTGAGGCTCGGCGGCTGCGGCGCCTACAAGGCTGCTCATCACATCATTAAAGTAAAAAACCTCCTGAAACTGTGCTTGAAATGACGTCTCAGTTAAGGATTTTTATCAGATTTCACTCCTTAAACAGAAATAGTTTCACAGCCATGTAATTTCCAAGTAGGACACTGAAATTATAATCTGGTTTTAAACCTCCAGTGCATAACCCAAGGCACTACCAATGTTCGGCGCTTGATTTAACACTTGTAACAATCTGATTTTTCCTTATATTATAAATGTCTCTTATAGTTTGTTTCAAGCTGGTTGAAAAAGAAAACAATCCTGGCCTGTGGAAATGAACCTGAATGTTGCAAGTGACTTCAGGAAGTCTGGTAAAAATTAACTTTTCATATGCCTGAATAAATTAGGGAAAGACATCCAAAGATCAGAGCCATGGGACAGAATCCTGTCCTGAGGGCTGTGTGTCAGCTCCATGTGGATGTCCTGGAATTTAGGGAAGGAATCCTGCATAAAGGCTTTTGTGATGTCTTACATGAAATTCAAGTTTCTGTAATAAACACAAAAGAAATTCTGCGATATTTTCAGACAGACTTCAGTGCGGAAAGTTCCACCAGCTTTCCATGGCATAAGAGATGAAAATGTGAACGATTTATTCTATTTTTACATTATTTTTAGACTCATGCCAAGGTTTGGCACTCCTACAACAACACCTGGCGCAGGGAGCAGAGAGGTAATCAGGATTCATTCTGTGATTGTGCTGCTGTTTCTGTTAAGGGCTTAAAGAACTGCAGAACTGTCCCTTTGTTTTAAGGGATGGTTGGAATTTCCCTAACGAGTGGCTGGGGGGAACCTGTTGATCCACACAGTCAAACAGACAGAGATGCTGCTGAAAGGTACATCCAGTTCCACCTGGGATGGTTTGCAAACCCCATTTACAGAGGGGACTACCCAGAAGTCATGAAGAATTATGTAGGTAAGTCCCAGTAATGAGGACATGAATAGATCCACACTTCCAGCAGGGAATAACTCCTGGCCACTGTGGGCTTTAATCAAGTGAGGGCACAGGTGACACACAGCAAAGCAACCGAAGGCCCCTGGGCTGAACACAGCTCCTAAAGCAGTTTGGGAACACACCAGGACACTTTAGATCACTGTTTCTCCATGTATGGTACCCAACTTAATTCTCCAAACCAAAAGGATGAAAGATTTTCTCATCTTAAAAAACCAGTTAAGCTCAGGTGTCCTTGACATTAACACCAAATTCAGGAAAATCATATTTGGCCCCAGCACAGGTGCCCAGGGCAGCTGTGGCTGTCCCTGAAACCCTGGAAGTGTCCAAGGCCAGGCTGGATATTGGGGCTTGGGGCACCCTGGGATGGTGGAAGGTGTCCCTGCCCATGGCAGGGGTGAGGTGATGATTTTAAAGGTCCCTTCCAACCCAAACCATGCAGGATTTTATTATTCTTTGATTTATTGTTTGAGATATAAAGAAAACCAATTGCCATGCTCCTCAGAAGTTGTTTCCTATAATTATTTTGCTAGGTAGGAAGAGTGCCCAGCAGGGCCTGGGGACATCGAGATTACCAACTTTCTCAGTGCAAGAGAAAACCTATATTAAAGGCACCTCGGATTTCCTGGGAATTGGTCATTTTACCACTCGTTATGTTCTGCAGAAGAACTTTCCCTTCCTCCAAGTGTCCAGTTACCACACTGACCGTGACCTGGCTGAACTGGTGGACCCCAACTGGCCAGCTCCAGGCCCCAAGTGGCTCTATTCTGTGCCCTGGGGGTTCAGGAGGTTGCTCAACTTCGTTAAGGTGAGTAGAGAGGATCTTTAATTAGAAAGGAAGAAAATGACTGGTTTAGATTTAGATTTTCAACAGTTCCAGCTATTGGTCTTGTCATAGTGGGAATTTACTTTGTCAAAAAAACCCTTAATTACAGAATTCAGTCATTTTAAAATAAACCCCATAATTAACCTAAATTCCTACTACACACTTTTCTTACTTAGGTAAGTAAATGTAGAAAATTGTTATTAATGCACTTTGCTAATTCACATATTCTGTCAAAATAGAATGATTTTATGTGAACCACTTTAGACATTTCTGTTTGCAGACCCAGTATGGGAACCCCCTGATTTATGTGACAGAGAATGGAGTGTCTGAAACAGTGCAGTGCCCTCAGCTGTGTGATGAGTGGAGGATCCAGTACCTGAAGGGATACATCAACGAGATACTCAAAGGTCCCTTAAAAACAGCTTTAAAGGATTTGACTTTTGGAGTGTTTTCACCTTCTGCTTATTTTTTTTTTTTTTTTGTCATTTCCATCAGAGAAATAATTATTTACAAGTCAAAATGGACAGCAAACCAGACTCATAAATTTTCACCAAAATGACCTACCTGAGATTCAATACTGCAATAAATCATCGGTTTCCACTTTCAGAAAGCAGAAATTGCTATGCCCATAGAACTCTAGTACCTTTAAGCTAAAGGCAACAGTTTCAGAGAATCTAAGTTAAATTAATTTGTACTTCATTTTTCTGTCCTCCTCCCTATCTCTTCCTGCTATAAACCAAAACATTTACAGAGCCATATTTTAAGGACAAAACTTTTATCAGTGATTTATGTTCTTTTTTCCAGCTCTAAATGATGGTGTAAATGTCAAAGGTTACACTGCCTGGTCACTGCTGGATAAATTTGAATGGAACAAAGGCTTCTCCGAAAGATTTGGGCTTTACCACATTGACTTCAAAAACAAGAACAAACCACGGTACCCAAAGGCATCTGTTGATTACTATAAAAAGATTATCAGTGCAAATGGATTCCCAAATCCAAGAGAGGTAATGTCAGCTGCTAAATTTGATCTTTTTTTTTTCCTTTTTCTTTGATTTATATGCCAATATCACATTGAATTTCAGGAAACAACTCGTATGAATATGGTACAGATGGGACACTTTGGTTCTGTACATTAGGGATCTGTTTAATACAGAGATATTCAGATACTGAAAGTGGGAACAGCCTCAATTACTGTTTCTAAAGCATCCCACAAACTCCAACTGGACATACTGATGCAGTCAAAAATTCTCCATCAGAAGTTATTTAGCAGTGCTGTCAGATTCCCAGGCAGAAAACTCCAAGTATGTACTAGCCTACTGGAAAATTACCTGGAATGTATTATGTGCTGTTAAAAATTTTATTAAACAATTAACTTGGAGAAATACACTGAAATGAAAACCACAAAGCCACAAAGAAACTTTCAGAAAATCGTGAGTTGGTAGAATAAGGTAATTTCAAGTTCATTGTAGGGACAAGGGTTGAGGGGCAGGGAGGGAGCTGTGGGAGTGAGGAGGATGCTCACAAAACTGTCACCCCTTCCCAGGTGGAAAACTGGCATCGGAAGGCCATGGACAGCTGCTCTGCCACACACCAACACCTTGCTGCAGGTAATGATGGCTCTGTTTTGCTCTATAAAAGCAGATTCTCTAAAGTTCAGATATTACATTGCTCCTTGAATTCTGTTAAAAGGTATTTTCTCCACAAAAGCACAAGAAAAATGTCTTCACTTACTGTCTCCAACTAAAATCACTGTAGCTAAATGGATTAACTGTGTATGTTACTGAAATACAGGAACTGGAAGAGCTACTACTTAAAATTTAAGTTGGGGATAGCAGCATTCTCCTTAAAATAAAACTGCTAAATGCTTTTTCAAACACAAACCAAACCCAGACAAATCAAGACAACCACACAGACAGAAAATCTCTAAATGTTTGACTTTTACATAAAGTGGAACTATAAAAATAAATAGAAGGGCTAAGGAGTGGCCTTAAGATTAAGTTAGGGCTCTGATGCTCCTGGTAACAAAGAAAATCCAACACAACTGATCCAGAACACCTAAAAAACCTCCTGGTGTAACTCAGGACCTTTCAGAATATCTGAAGAAGGAATTTTTTAAGAAAGAGCAAATAACTACTGCAGATTCTTACAAGAGGATGAGCTAAATTCCACCTGGTAGGAAACATCCCAGCATCAGCCTGAGCTGATCCTGCTCAGCCTCCACTTCCAAGTCATGTTCAGTGTCAATAAACTGGCTTTACTGAACTCTTCCAGGCTTCTCTGGGAAACAGAGTAAGACCCATTTAATTTTTCAAACAGATACAGAGCAATCATAAAAAGGCCAGAGTTTCCCAAGGACTTCTCTTTGACACTTTTCTTTCACCTTGGGGTGAGGGGAATAAAATTCAAAGGACCAGTAAAATATTTGTAATGCACTGCAGCTAATTCATAGCAAAGACAATTCTTGCAGCCCTTTGAGCACTGACATGTCTTCAGAAATTTAACTTAAAAAGGAAAAGAGAAGGAAAACGATCATGGATTTGCTCCAGCTTCAGCAGACTTAGGAAATTGTTTGCTTTGTTTGCTGTTTATGCCAACATCAACATTTTTATGTTCCAAAAAACCTTTATGTTAACTCTAAGCTAGGTATTAGTGTACTCCAGAGGATTAAATCTCTTACATATTCCTCATTTCTCAAATTTTAGATTCCCTGATTACTCACATGGAAATGGTGACAGAGATTGTTCTTCCTACAGTTTTCACACTCTGCATTCTCATCAGTATTGTCCTCCTCATATTCTACCTTCGAAATCACAGCTAAAATTGATGTTTGCACACATCTTCATTTGCCAAAAGGACTGAGCTGCAACTGTTTTATTTGAGTGGTTAAAATTTACCACAGATTCCTCTTTTTATACCCCTGTAATGAAATATTATTTACCAATCTACCTAGAGCTTTTATAATTTTTCTATTCAACTCCCAAAACATCTTTTTACCAAATACATTCTCTTCCATTGATTCTAAGCAGTAGATTTTACAATCCTAATTATTTTGCAAACTAATACACATTTTGTTCACCAGAGATATAGTTAAGAGTAAAGTGATTCAAATCTTGCCAGTACAAATTTCAAGTGATTAAAAGCTTGCTTGCAAATTCTGATTTCAGTCTGTTCATCAACAGCATTTTGATTACCATGTAATTGCCATTTGAAGAAAGACAAACACATGATTTTAAAATATAAAAGGACTTAAATATTCCAAGAGCACTGCTTAAATATGAACTTATTCATGTCTAAAAATTAGGAGAATATATACCTTGCTATTTAGGTGTGGAGAGTTGTTTGAAGTGAGTAATCCAAGGTGACAACTTCTGAAGCAGATTTCAACCACATCTCTGCAGTTTGGTTTACAGGAACCAGACTTACCTTACACAACTCTGTAATATATTATACACAAAAATGTGGATTTTAAATAGTCCAAGAACTTCCCAAATTAACATTTCACCTTAAATCCCCTTCTACTGCAGGTAGAAACAAGTACTATAAAAACTTGGTTCCACAATTCAGCTGGCTGTACTAGAAATACAGCTTCCTGTGCTTGAAACCAGAAGTTATAAAAATTTACAATAACCATCTGTAATTCATAGATTATATAATTAAAAGTATATGCTTTTAAAAGCATGAATATTGGGTGTTTTTCTTATTCTTACTTACCCATAGTTAACTTTTTAATGCAAAAATATTTCTGTCTCATATTATTTGGTCAGCATGTACAACTCTATGGAATTGTTTAAATTAAACCACCAAAATGTTACCTCACTGATTAATCAACAGAACACATGCAACTGCCAACATATTTAAATTATTATGTCCAGCCAATTATACTGATTTTGTTTTTAAAAAAATTATGCAAAACATACAAGACCACACTGTTAAAATAATTCACTTCACATTGAAGGAATAAAATGATTTGAAGAGGAGGGAGATGTATTTCCAAGAATACCCCAAAATATAAATACAGGGACAAAGAAACCTAAACTGGATGAAGATCCCAAGGCACTGGATGAAGAGGTTTCCAAATACTTCAGGATAATTAAGAATCACTTGATCCCAGGAGAACTTTATTCTTATTTCTTATTCTTATTTCTACTTTCAAACAATATTGCTTGGTTTGTTGGTTAAGATAACTCACACTTTGAACAGTGTCTGATTGCATTTTTAATGATCAAAAAAATAAAATATGAAACCCCAAAGTGCACAACTTTGTTGAATGTCTGTAAATATATGAAAATACCCACCATATTTACAAAATATTTATACTGTACAGTCATAATTGCACTGCATTTTTAACAAATGAGATGCCTACAGGCGAATTGTGGCTGTGGAGGTCCCACTTAAGTGTAATAAAGCAAATAAATCAGTGAAAATGAACTGTTTGAAGCCCAGAGTGTTTCTAAAAGTTCTGTTGGGACAGAAAACACTGAAATGTCCACCTTTCTGTACCTTTCCAGTCCTGCCTGTTCAGTAACATCAACTTAAGTGAACTGCACCTGACTGCACTGAGTCATGGTAATAAAATACAGCCTTTCTTCACTGCTTCCATTTACTGCAGAGTCAGAAAAGAAACCTGCAAGGACAAAGGGAAAAGCAGGGATTAGCCACTCTTGTCAGAAGGTGAAGATTAGTTCATGGAGCAGCTTCCAGAACTGTTTTCAAAGTGCAGTTTTACTGAAGTACTTCATGACAAAAATCAATAATGACAGGAAAGATTTACCAAATCCTCACATCAAACCTCATCCCAAAAAGGCAAATCATTTCTGCACCAGTCCCCCTGCTTAATTCTTCCCCATTCTGATGCTTTTCCACTTGTTCTACATTTGCTTGCAGCAAGACAGATCTTCTCCCCTTTGCACTTTTCTGTGACTTGAGACCAGCATTAACAACAGGGAAATTTATTTTAGAAATAAGGTACAAGATTTTTTGGGTATCAGACATCTCATATTTGGAACTATTCTGTCATTTGAACTCTAAAAACATAACTCAGCCAAGGTAAGAAGGCAAAAAAGTCACCACCTTCTGAATATCCTTAATTCTGTAAATACCACCTCACTCTTTTGGTAGAAAGTAAAATATTATTTTGCTTTTGCTAAAAAGTAAATATAAAGTTCAGACCCACTGAAGTCAGGATAAAAACTGAATTTGTTTGAAGTTTGTGCTTTGATTATTTCATTTCACCACCAACATTCCCCACCTGAATTGTCTGATGTCCCATGTTCAACTGGAGCATTGGTACTGACTTGCCACGTTGTTTTAACCTCCTTCTGTCCATGCCCACTACTTATCTCCACCTTCCAGACTTCAGGGTTATCACTGAGAGAATAATCAAAAAACATCGAGTCAAACATTCAGTCCCATCTGAATTTTATACTGCAAACTCAAGTTTCTCTTACTTTTGATAGAATTTCTTCACAAGAGCTGGTCTGATGGGCAGCTGAAACACATGCTTCTCATCCAGAGGGTTCTCCTTGTAATACTTCATGCAAATCCTACAAGAGATATCAGGTTACTTTATTTAAAGAAATGTTTGTACAACAGAGCATCAGCTTGTGTAAAATTAACTATACTCTCACATTTTATTATTTCCTTTAGTTTTCAGTTTTAGTCCCAAAGCAAAATTTGGCAGGAAGATCCAACTGCTCCATCTGCAGTTTCACTATCACCAACATTAAGGTGTTTCTTTAAAACTGTCGAACGAACTCTATTTGTGATTGTCATTTAAAGAGCAAAAGTAAAAATGAAATAATTACTGTGTCAAAGGGAAGAGATTCTCATGTCTGAACTGCAGTAAGCCTGTACAGCTGACCATTATTTCCAGCATATGGTGAAGCTTTTGAACACGGTGGACTTGTTCCTGGAGATCCACTGATGTGGAGGTGAAGTAATCCTGGAAGAGAAAAGAGCTTTTGCTCTTACCTGAGCTCTCCACTGCTACAGACACACAACACACCCTCAGTAAATAAAATCATCTTCCTGCTTCTTTGGAGATTTTTAGAGTGGCCCAGCAGACTCAGACCAAAGCCTTATCAAAGTGTAACAAAGGATCACTGCCTTAGCAGTGACCCAAATCAGACATCAAGGGAATTATCTGGGAATAAGGAAACAAAACAATGACATTTCTGCAGTGTGTTGTTCCAGCCTCATGATCTGCAGTTCAGTTTCTCAGCTTTTATAATTTGCATCCCACCATCAGCTAAGAATGCTCTGCTTTGGAAAATAAAAATAAAGCATCTCACCAAGTAGGTTGCTGTTGCAAGTTCCTGGCCTGTAAAAGGAACAGCAGGAAAAAAATTAATATGTGGTATAAGATGAAATATAAGCAACATTCAGGTGATCAAACAGTAAATTCTACTGAAGTACAAAGTCAGCAGGAGTGTGCTGTTATTTATTGACACAATCATTCATTCCAAACAAGAAAAAACCTCTAACGTGGTATGGTCAAGGCATGATTTTGTTTATCACCAAGGCTGCACAATGAAGAAACCCACTGTGTACTTGGAGACAGCCACTCTCCTCAGGACACACAAATTTACAAAAGTAGTGAAAATAAAAAAGCAAATAAATGAAGAATGAAAACAGGATGATAGATGCCAAAAAGAAATGAAGAGGTAACCACAGCAGTAAAACACAAAGCTATACTTCTTTTGAAACAACTAAGTTTTTAAAGTTTTGAAATTTAGAAGCTGGAAACTTCCATTATTCAGGAAGCTGGAAACTGCACTTCAGCAGATGGGAAGGGAGAGAGATGGAGGTTACCCAAAAGTTCATTATTTCCTGCATGGAACACCTTTTCTCCTGAATTCCTAATGCTGTTACCAAGTGCCAGGCTCACCTATGAAAAAACTGACATAATCCTTCTTCATCTTCTCCAAGCCAATCTCCAGGAGCATCTGAATGGGAGTGATGTCACTGAGGGAAACATCCTCCATCTTTCCATGGTAGGACTGCTGGATCAATTGACTTAAAAAACTGCTGCTCCCTTGATGAATCTGAAAATAAAGCAGTCTTTTTGTGATGACACTGCATGAAACATCATCAGTGTTGTTCAGAAGTTCAACACCATTTAAAAACAGCACAAATGAGGGCAGTGAAGGGACAGGAACTGCATTTTACTTGAAACTATCCCAAATTTTAGCATCTCTTGTGAAATACAAATACACACCCATGGCTGTATCTCACCACGTTCCAGGGATTTTATGACCAGTGTGAAACAGTCTATTAATTCCTGATAGGAACTAACACCTGGAAAGAAAAACACAATATTTTAATTATCAATCCAGGCTCTTGCTCTGGTTGTTAAGTCAATAACAACATGCCAACACCCTTGCACAAACAAAACCCCTCAAATTAAAGAAATTACAGACTGCACAGGTTTTTGGCAGCTTTGTCACATGACTTTAAAAAAAACAATCATCAACAGAGATCACTGAACTCCACATATACTGAAAACTGTCCTTCAGATCTAGAGAAAAAGGAATTACAAAGTTTTCAGTTTTAGAGCAGATAGGTTTTAGCCTTAAAGCAACTACCAATAGTCTAGTGCCTTTTGCAGTCAAATAAAATGAAATTATCTCCTGCTAGATGCTGGTCTGCCGTTGGAAGGTTGTAAGAAAAGACATCATCCTGCATCCCCAAAATGGGCTCTTTTCTAGGAAGAGAGTGCTGATACCAATTTACTGAAGAGCTGATGAGTCCTTAAAACTCAGAAATGGACAGGAATTTCCCTGAAAAAGCAATACTGTCTTGCAGATAGAGAAGAAATGAAAGGAAATAAATGAAATTAAATGTAAGATGGGGCACAATACACTTACCTTTCATTTTGCACCATAATTGCTCAGTAAAATCCAGGTCTCCTCGCTCCCCAAAGATTGATTTTATGCAACTGTCCACAGCAGCTGTGTCACATTTGATTTTCTGAAAGAATTTATTGGACTTCAATGAAAAATGGTGCTTGAGAGTCAAAAATCTTCCACATCTGAATTTCTCCAGAGATCAAAACTGGCTGCATCACTAATTTTCCCCCTTTCCAGGAAAACTACCACACAGTACTTTGGAAGTATATTTTTATTTCAAAGTGAGTCTGATTCTTTGCAGAATTATCACAATGGATAACTGCTAGCCTTGGAGCAGAAATCAAAAGCCACTGTCAGAGAGATTTTAGATCTCAGCCAGGTATTGTCTGTGTACCCAGCAGTGCCCTGGGAGGCAAAAATCCAGACACACAAATTCTCAGAGCAGAGAACTATAGCTCCTGTTAGTATAAAGAACTATAATTCCCCATAGTTCTGATACAGAACAGTTCTGTTGACACAGAAATCAATATATTCTTGGATTATCAACAAAATGCTGCTTCTCTCTTAACAGAAAACAGACCTAAAACTTTCCTTGTAGGCTGAGAGGGAAAAAAAAAATCTCAATATAACCAAACACATTTTTATCATTTGAATTTGCCCATTGCTTTACAGGATCATAAACCTCCAGATAAGGGGACACATATTCAGCTGATACTATCAAATTGGCCCCAAATCACTAAATTAGGCAAGAAAAGTAAATTAATGCTAGAATGCAATGGCACAAAGGTCAGAATTCCTGGAAATCAGACCTTCTCCCATTATTTTTACACAGCAGAGACAGAAAGGAAGAGATCCATATTCCTTTTCATCGCTATTTACATATAGAAACAATATACAAGATTTAGTCAAAATCTGAAATAACTGCAGTTAAAAGGGAAGCAGAAAGACAAAGAGCTGTTAGGAGACTGCACACACCTCTGTTTCATTCTTGGTTCCAAGTGTATAATCCCCATCCAGTTTCTTCTTTAAATCTGGGAGTTAAAAAAAGTAAGTTCCACCACTATGAAAAGAGTCATCAAACCAGTCATGAATCCCCTGGCACATCATAAATGACAAATAACCTGAATAATAGAATTGGTTAATTTAAAAATGGTTTTATTGGGTAAGGATATAGTCTGAAAATACTTTTAAAAAATGTTTTTCATAATTTTTACTTTGCTCCATGATATTAGAAAAATTACAGATATGTATTAACCTATTTTACTACTCTGTGCAGAGGCTACAGCACAGAAATGAACATTTCCAGCTCTAATGCTTTAAAAGTTGTATGTGGAATTCCCTTTTATTCCTGTCAAGTGCCCTTCCCTCCCCATGGAACAAGCAGCAATTACCAGTCAGAAATTCCTGGACCAGTTTAAGAGCTGAATCAGACTCTGATGGCTCAGGCCACTCAGTCACACCCGTCTTCAGACCTTCAGCCAAAACCTAAGTGCAGCAAGAAAATCACAACAGAAATCAGTTCTTCTTTGGAGTTCTGCATGTGTCATCCTTCACATCCTCACCAAAAATCACAAATCTCTGCACAGCTAACCAGGAGTTACAATTTTTCAGAATTTCCTGGATGATTTGTTCTCTTTCTAGTTAAGACTTCTAAAACTGAACTCAAAGTTCAGCTAAAATAAACGCCTGAAGGTATCTTTGAAACATCTGAAGTTTTCAATAAAGCAAATTATTAGCACATAAAATCCCCATTCCATGCAGATGTCAAATTGGAATTTCTCCCCTGCACTCACCAAGAGGAACTGCAGCTCTCGGTACAGCTGGAACACAGGACTTCTGGGGTCCCCCGACTCCAGGACAATATTCTGAAAGTTCCACAAGTTTCCCTCAGTTACAAACTTCAGAAATCAAGAGTCCTAAAATTCTCATCAGTGTGAAGCGTGTCAGCACAACTTTTAATCCAGCTTATGAACAGGTTACATTGCTTTTATCTTCTATCCTTTATACTACCCATGATGTGAATTGTGCCAAGAGCTTGGGTTCATTTGCTTTTTCCATCCTGACTTACCAGGGTGGCAGCAGAGATCAGTGGGGGAGTCTCCAGAATCTCTTCCACACCATTCCACGTGATATCCACACAGATGTTGCTTCCAAATTCTGAAATGGTGTCCTCTATTGCAGCAGCTGCAATCAGCTCATACTGAGCAAATCCTTTTGTTGTCACCTAAAATGAACAAATTTCAAAAATAAAACCAACTACCACAGGCAAAGTAATTTTAAAAGCATTTCACAAACACACAAAAAAAGGGTCAATACCAGACAAATGCATTATAGACATGACCTGAAATCAGACTGTTATACAATAAAATCACACAAAGGTGAGTTTCCACAGAGGATCTAAAAAGCTTCCCCTAACCAGCATCATAAATCCCAAAACAGAGTTTTTAAACTTGATTTGAAGCCATGACAGAGTGTAAAAACGTACAACGGATGAATGATGTCTTATTTTGTGTTCCATTTTGAGCTGCTCCAGGTTTGCAAAACAGGTTTTATCAGCTGTAGGACCTAGGAAAGGAAAAAAGTGAGAATCAAAAAGCCCTGCTTGACACAATTTAAATTTGGCACTTTAAGTTCATTCCCAAATACTCCATTTGGTGAAGCATGACTCCTGCTGTCCTTCAGAAAGCTGGAATTCTCCTTGCATTTCTCCTATTGATTGAGTCAGAGGTTGTGTAAGATGCTGAATGGCAGCAGTTTAAATCTCCTGTTGCTGCACCTGAGTTGAGGCAGGCCTGCACAGATACAGGTGCATCAAGTAGATTAAAAAGCCACTTCCCACACACAGCATTGATTAAAAACATCTTTTCTCTTATTTTAATCCCCTCTTGTTCATTACAACCAGGAATACAGAGCATTTCCAAGTATCACACAAAGAACAAAGACAGCATTCCCACAATTTTTAGCCTTCCTCATTTAATTTTCTGTGCACCATGATCACCTTACCATCACATGAAACCGTGTAAATATTGAGGCCTGTGACTTTGTTTCCAGCCTTGAGAGGCTCAGCTCCAATCCAGCAGGTGTGCTGAGGGTCAGAACCATCACACCTGGCCCAGAGGGGAGGAAGAACAACCAGGTCACTTATCCCCAGGTGGGTCATGTTTGGGTTTTGCACCATTGTGTACAAGGAAATCAAATGCCTAGAAATAGGAACAGGGAGAAAGTAAGATGCCATCAAACTTTAAAAATATAATTATTATATTACATTATTATAATTTATATTATACATTTATGTTTATATTTAATATACATTATAAATACGTTAAATTATTAACATAGGCTGAAGATTCTATAATTATAATGGAATATTAAGATAATTAAAAGAATACATTAGTTAGGTAAACCACATTTTGGAACCATGCACTGGTATTTTAATAACACCAAAAACACAAATCAGATTTTTAGGACCTTTTTTTAATAGGAGTTTTACCAAAAAAATAAGCACTGAAGTCTTAGTGAGCTCTTTTTGCTCGTCTACACCCAGTGAATCCCAACAGCCCAGCTCACAAGTGCTTTTCCAATAGCTGGATTTTAGCTACTTTTTAAAATGCTTTTAGACATTGAAAGTAGGGAGGCCCTTTTGCAGGATGGAAAACAGTCACAACTCCTCATAAACTAATGAGTAATTTTATCTAGGGGATTGAAAATACCGGTTCTGAATATTAGAAAAAGACACAAAATTACAAAAGAAAACTCCCTCAAAAGGGGAGGAAAATCTTTCACACTTACTTTGCTCTTCCAACAGAAAGAGCCAGGGCTCCAGGACTCTCCTTTGGCAAAACCCCAGAGGCACCAACAGCATCATCTACTTTTGATTCCTCCATGGAGTCACTTTCTTCATTGTGCATCTTTAAAAGAAATGTTCATTTAAGTCAAAAACTGCAAGGTGTGTGAAAAGAAATCCGATAGGAATCCAAAAGTCTGGATTACATTTAACATCTATCATGCACACTTACAGCTTTCTGCAAAATATATATTGCACTGTTTCCATTCCAAAATTTTTCAACAGGGCTTTTGCAACTGCCACCAACCAATGAGATCTCTACATCAGTCTGAAAAATAAATAAATGAAGAAATCAAAACTTCTTGGTACATTGTGTAGAGACACTGCATTTTGCATTTTTTTTTTTAAATAACAGAAACTGCAAAATTAAATAATCCCACAGACTGTTTTCCAATCCCATTGCATCCATTTGTGAGGCACTTGCAGCCTCCCTGCAGCACCTGAAGGGAGCCTACAGGAAAGATGGAGCGAGACCATTTAAGAGGATGGAGTGGGAGGACAAGGTGGAATGGATTCACACTGACAGAGTAGGCTTAAATTGGAAATAAGGAAGAAATCCTTCTTGCAAGGGTGGGCAGGCCCTGGCACAGGGTGCCCAGAGAAGCTGGGGCTGCCCCCGGATCCCTGACAGTGCCCAAGGCCAGGCTGGACAGGGCTTGGAGCAGCCTGGGACAGTGAAGGTCCCTGCCCATGGCAGGGAGTGGAATGGGATGATTTTCAAGTTCCCTTCCAACCCAAACCAGTCTATGATTTTACCTCATAGAGATAGCGATGTCCGGGGATACTATGCTTTCCTTCGTCACGTATCCTGAAAGAAAAGAAAACGTTGAGATACACGGCCTTTCCCCTCAGCATTCCTCATTAAACAGCAACATTACTCATATACATTAAACGCTCCAAGGCTACAACCGGAGCCTCAGCAGCCTCCCCACAAGCGGGACCAGACCTCCCTCAGCAGAGCAGCGGAGACCCCCAGGCAGTGACCCCGATCCTGACGGGAGCAGGAGCCCGGACAGCCCCGGGAACAGCCCCGATCCTGACGGGAGCAGGAGCCCGGACAGCCCCGGGAACAGCCCCGATCCTCACCGCAGCAGGAGCCCGCTCAGGCCGCCGCCCGCCCGGCGCCGCC